TTTATTATGAATTATCTTTTGAATTATCTATCTTGAGTTATCGATAAACTATACATCATTTTAAAAACGATAACGTTTAATGACAGGGCGCTATAGCTATTACTAACAATTGTTTTCACAATATCATATATAGCAAAGCTAGTAAATTTCTGCAATTTCGATCAATTTTATAATTGACTTTTATCGTCTTTATTACTTGCATCTTAATAAGCCATCGAAATGATTTTTACAAGACGAAGCGATAAGTCGGTCTCATTGAAACGTTAGCCGTCTCAACAGCTCGTTAAGATGCAAGTGGTAAAAAAGGCAATAAACATCATCTTTGAAGAACAAAAATTACAGATATTTATATAGCAGATTCATTATATTATGATATAAAATTATTTTATACTAAAATTATACTACATATTTATATACAGCATATTTCCGAGCAATATACACACTTATTTCCTTTTTAGAATGGATATCTTATAGGTAACTATTGTATTCTAAAGGTATTCTAAAAGAATGCTTGATAGTACAATATTTTTCATATTTAGTTTTGTAATTCTATATATTTGTCTCTTATTCTATTCAGGTAAATACAAACGTCCAAAACATAAAAAAAATATTGTATAACCGTCATCTAATGTTTAACATAGTGTGTTATTGGAAAATATATTTTTACCTCGATTAGTATAAAGTTGCAAAATAGATTTACAATCGTTCATTTAATAGTGATAATGTAAACCACATTTCAATATCACAGGTCGAAATTTTCTTGTTTAACAGTAATTTTGTCCATTTCTTTAATTCAGCATTGTTTGCAGAAATCCAAGAATATAACTACCTAAATCTTCATCCTGATTAGTCCATGAAACGTAAACACTCTTTTGATCATCTTCATCTCCTTCCACCTTTACTAAAACGGACTCGACTGATATAGAACCGTCTGTTAATTGGACCGTCCATCCAGATAATCTTTCTTTCAATGGCTGCAATAGTTTTAAAGTAGTAGCTTGCGCTGGGCCGGGATCCCTTACTTGCACAGTAGATGTGAATCTGACAACATGTTTTGTGATACCTGCAGCTTTTGCAACCTAATCAAATAAAAAAGCAATAATCAATGCATGTAAAATAACAATTGTTATTTCCGATAAAAAGAATAACAATGACAAATTAAACAATTATTATGCGGAAGATATTACCTCATCCGCATCTACAAGACAGACACCGTCTTCTCTCAGCATTAGGACACTGTGAAGCAATCTCCGTCTTTTCGGATCAGGCGGCAAGGCCGAGTATCTCTTTGCTTCAGCTTTCAGCAATGCTAGAGAAGCATCTACGGGAACTTTGGATGTGGTCGTGATAATACAAGTTTCGCCATTTGCAGGATTATAGCAATTAACACCGAATTCTTGTTTAATTTTTTCCTTCAAGTATTCCATCTTAGCGAATTCTCCGTGCACCAGCATAACATTCTTCGGTTCACAATACTGTATCAACTGCATTATTCCTTTTGCATCAGCATGAGCAGAAAAGGACATGTACTCCACGGCCATCTTTACCTCTACGATCTGCCGATTCTCGAACTCTATTCTCCGCGTACCATTTAAGACTTTGTGCCCCACGGTACCTTGCACGCAAAAACCTGGCATGATAACCATGTTGGACTCGTTAGGTGCCCATTTCTTAAAGATCTGGAGGGAGAGACCGGCGTGTAACATTCCTGGCGTAGCAAACACCACCATTGCACCTGGATTATCGATATATGCTTTATCAAACGGTTTTATGTGCTTAAAGTCAAACATATTCCGTTGTACAAACGTTTTTTTAATTTTCTGATTAGTCCAGGTGATAAACATTTTATAATAATTATTGGCCTTTTCGGTTAAACCAAGTGCGAAATAAACTGGTACTTTCAGATTCATTCTTTCCCAATATGTTTCCAAAAGTATACACAGTTCTTGAGCGCGACCGAGAGCGAATACGGGAATCAGTACCTTTCCACCTCTGTCAATGCATTCGTGTACCTGAAACACGCTCTTATCTTTTAAAAAAAATCGTTCAACATAAATTAAATTATTACCAATAATAATGAGCCGAAAACATACTTTCTTGAGGAAATCTCTTTCTCTGCATCTCTTCGAATCTCTAATCGTGGTTGCATATGTTGATTCTGAAATTAACAAGTCCGGCCTGCATTTGTCTATCCATGCAGCACCTAAGTGCCGATCGGGCGTCATATTATAGTCTCCTGTGTATACGATAGATTGCGATCCCACACGAACCCAAAACATAGCTGCACCAAGAACATGTCCGGCATAGTATGCTTTTATCTCCAATTCTGGATCTACCATGACGGATTGATGAAGCGTAACAGCGATAACTTTCTTCATGCAATCCTTTATCATTTGCGATGTGAAAAAGTTACTTTCGCCTTTACGCTCGACTGCAACTTTTCTCATGTCTTCTAGCAAAATTGGCGCAATAGCCTTAGTTGGATGTGTCATATAAATTGGTCCAGTGTAACCTACCTATTTTTTTAAATTAGAAATGAAGACGTGCAAGAAAATTGAAAAAGATACAACAAAGATAAAAATAACAATAATTATTACAATTCTTGATGTTATGTTACCATTTCTGTGAAATATGGAAGAGCACCACAATGATCTAAATGAAAATGAGAGATAATGACACAGTCAATATAATTGGTCGTAGGTCCCTCTGGAACAATGTAGGAAAAGTCTGGGAAGCGTCTCTCATCATTGAATCCCATGTGCATTCCACAGTCCAGCATGATATTTTTGCCGCCCATGGAGACAAGGATACAACTGCGCCCGACATCCTGCCCAGCACCGAGTGGTGTAACTTTTATATCCGGCATTTCTGAAAAGATTAACAAAACATAGTACCATTTAAAACTTTAATGAAATAATCATATTACCTCCAAGGTGACAAGCTAATGTCATTTGTCGTCATTTTGATGTCCAAATGACATCTTTAATGTCACTTTTACGTCAAAATAACAAATAAAGTCAGCTTGCTATCTGAGTTTATATATACATACTATAAGATATTTGTCAAGCATAAAATAGAAAATGGATGCTTATGAAACAAATATATGTACGTGTCTCAATATTTTTTACTGTAAATTAACAAATATATCTTTTATTTTTAAAAGAGCATTCTCTCTTAAAAAGAGACTGACAGTATCAGCTCAAATATGTTGATATCGTTATATCGCTCATTTAAAGATATATCAAGTTAGTTGGCTAATTTAGATCACAACAATTTGCTTTCTGAATCATAATCTTGTTGTAATATAAATAAAGGTTATTAGGATTAGGTTAGGCTTAGGAACCAAGCGTTACTAATGCACCGGTTCGTAAGTGCACAATGAATAAAACGATTATTACATGCACACAGATCACAGTTGAGAATTAATGAGCAGATTAACGTAAACATGTATCAAAAGTTGATTACATTTTCTTCAAAAGTTATCAAGATCTTTCTCCTCTTTACACTCTGGCGCATATACCTATTACACGTTACATCGAATTGAAAATACAGAAGACGAAATTTGTTTGCACTTTGCAAGGCAATCTGGACAACTTGACAAAAAAAGTAATTTTGCTAGATAAAAATCCTAATCTGAAAGGTTATCTGCAAGTGTGTTCTAAAACTCATATAGGCTGCGGTCCACTTGACGCTACAAATGCTTCAAAGACTGTGTTCCAAAATTGACTGCCAGTACTGAAAATCTATAATGCACGTAACGTAAACTATAGGATTTTCTGTGCTGGCAGTAAATTTGGAACACAGCCGAAGTATTCTTTGATTAGTTAATTCGTAAAATTCTTTGTTCTGATTGGTCGCTCAAACGCTTCGAAGCGTTTGTAGCGTCAAGTGGACCGCAGCCATAATAATTCTTCTGTTGTCGAACACAACCGCGCGCAGTATGAACTTTCACTATACGCCGTTGTCGTTTTAATTATTTCGATCTAATCATTTTATAAATATTCACGTAAACAAATATTTTACAAGCAGTATCCTATATACAAGAATGATAACATAATAATTCAAAGTTATCTTCAATTTTTTTTAATTACATAATGCATTATACATAATATAAATTTGTATATAAATATATTTTGTATGTTTCATCATATTATTCCAGGAAATGTACAAAAAAAGCAATTCAAATTTGTAGTCGTAATACTATGATTAATTACCTAACTATAAATACACTTATGTATTATAATTACACTTAACTATAAATACTATATAACAGTGATTTTAATCTTTTTTTGTAAAGAACTTGGTCCGAGATCGAAAAATGTAGTCAATCAACTTGCCGGTTTTCCGTAAAAACTGTAAGCTGATTGGCTACACATTTTACGATCCGAGAACTCGGATTGAGTTCTATCATCGTGGACACAAGGCTTTACACAGCTAGATAATAGTACTGTGCATCCTTAGGATTGAAAAGCTATATAATTTCCAAATGCTTCGATTTGTTTAAGCAATATCAGACTGTTCAACATTATATTTGATAAGTGGTATTCGTGTGATTAGTGCGATTACAAGGCCGATAAAATCATAAAAGTGTATAAAGATAAGAACACAAAACCATAGATACACACTATAACGCACATCTATTATTTGACAATTAGGCTGCGTTCAGGAATTATGCCTAGATAACTCTGGGGAGCATTTTTGCTATAGTATATGTAACGTAACCTATAGCTTAGAATTCTGGACATAATTCCTGAACGCAGCATAATTGTCAAATAATAGATGTGCGTCATAGTGCGTATCTACAGCCTATATATCGATATTATTCGGCAATTATTATTTTTCAAACTTCGCATTATTCTATATTATTTATGTTTTCAAATTAAGGAAACACATCTCATTGGCGATCAGACAATAAAACGTCATAAAAGAATACAAAATTTTAATTTTTGTGAGCTACATTTAATTAAAAAATTATTATATATAAAGCACTATTTTGAATGTTCAAATTACTAATAGAAAAAAAAATAATAGAGAAAAGATAAAATAAAGTAAAACAATTATGGTGCTTTACAGTTCTTCGTCTAGGTTGAAATCCTCCTCTGGAAAATCTCCAACGTTTATGTGCGCTGGCTTCACAAATCCTCCATATTTTGGGGCACATTCAAAATATTTTTTTCCACCGACACTATCAACAACACATTAAGTGTAAGAAGGGAAGAAAATATTCAAGTATCATAATTAAATGGGATTAAATATATTTACCTCCCATCATTTTTGCCAAGAGGTTCATCATATTTAACACCGATCCACCAGCCTTCCTTAAATTCAGTTTTACCTATAACATTTATATATTAAAATAATAAAAATACTTTTAGTAAAAATATGATTGCGAATATATTAAGAGATTCTGACCAACATATAAGATAGAAGCTCTTCGTTTTGGCTGATTTGGAACAGATACTTCGCAACGGTCTCCAACTTTGCACAAACTAGCCAAGCGTTCTTCTGCTTCTTCCTCCAGTTTCTTCTCTTCTGCTTTTCTTTTCATATCTTCCTCATTATACTTTCCCAATTTATTCCTTTCTAAGAACGCCTTAACAGTGTCTGTTCAAGCATAAATAAAATACATTTCATTAATCATTTAATTTGATGTAAGATAAATATGAAAGTCTCACCTGTCTTTTTGGCATACTCTTCCTCAGATATCTCAAACTTTTTCACATGATTTAAATCTTCTGTAGTACATGAGAAATTATCAATAACCTGCAATTTCCTTATATTTCATTTGCAATCTCACAATTTTGTGCTTATAAATATTTGAAGTAGTCTCAGTAAGACATAAAGTTTTCATATTATGGTTTCTGTATCATGTTGTAACATCTGTATATTTACATGTATCCTCATTCCATCGTCTATTGGATATGACCCCAAAAAGCGCTGTTCTTCCTCCAATTTACAAACGAGCTTGTCATTCTTGTTGTAAACTTCAACGGTCATTGTAACTGGGTTACCACCAGTAAGAAGCTCCAATTTGCCCTATGATTTTGTCTTGTAAATTTCTATGCAGCAGAAAAGTTTAGAAAGAAAGCGGTGCTTTACTTACTTTAAATTCATTGACAGTTATACCCTTTTGAAATCGACGTTCCACACAACATGATTCCTGACCAGAGTTTGTGATTGATAAATTCACAAAATCAGACGTAATTACGCTGCACGAACTCATTTTATTTAATTTGACACACGATATTCGACTACTATAGAATATAGGGTTAAATGATTTCAAACGTTCGCGAATCTCTTATGCCATATTTCCGGATATTTCCGAATACAATTATAATAAATCTATTAATTTATGCAACTCTATTTATGTATAATTATATAAAATAAATTAACGCCTAGTGTTTTGTGTACTCGCGTTAATTAATTGCAGAATATGTAAACATAAGCAACACCTTTGACAGAACTTTCGATTCTTTCGAAGCTTCAGCGAAATGTCATGACTTAATTGAAAGCAGAGAGAAACCTGAGTGCGACCATTCCAGCCTTTGTGAAGTGAGTGGATGTGAGTGAACTACATAGACCTGTTTATGCATGGTGGTAACATTATCGACATTACCTCGGATCTACAATAGTTTTAAGCCTTAAGCCATAAGAAATGGACGAATCATAGTCAATTATTCTTCTCGAATTCGACTGTAATTGGTCAGTTTCTTACGACTTAAGGCTTAAAACATCTATTGTAGGCCGGTATTCACAGTCGGTTCTTATTTCAAGATCGTCTTAAATAATGGCTGCGTTCAGCAGACTCAACAGATTTGCAACCGTTTTATGAATAGCTGCGTTCAGCAGACTCAACAGATTTGCAACCGTTTTATGATTGTCTGCTGAGATAGGACCATTCTTCTAGATCTAAAAGTATGATCCAATTAGCGCGAAGGAAACTTCCAACAGTTGCAAAACAAACGTTCTGCTGAACGCAGCCAATGTCTTAAGACGCTAATGCGACCCTCTCATTGGTTTATGACATCTTAAGACTGTACTTAAGACGGTTTTGAATATAAGATCTGACTATGGCTGCGTTCAGCAGAACGTTTGTTTCGCAACTGTTGGAAGTTTCCTTTGCGCTAATTGGATCATACTTTTAGATCTAGAAGAATGGTCCTATCTCAGCAGACAATCATAAAACGGTTGCAAAACTGTTGAGTCTGCTGAACGCAGCTATTCATAAAACGGTTGCAAAACTGTTGAGTCTGCTGAACGCAGCCAATGAATACCGCCCGTAGATCCGGACTTAAGGCCGCAGCACAGACTCTTGCATAATGCATAACGCATAGTGCATAAGCGAATCAACTAATCAGAATCTTTCCTTTCCTCCCATTCCATGGAAAAGAAGAATTTCAATTGGTCGATTCCCTTACGCACTATGCATAACGCATAGTACATAAGCGAATCAACTAATCAGAATCTTTCCTTTCCTCCCATTCCATGGAAAAGAAGAATTTCAATTGGTCGATTCCTTTATGCACTATGCATTATGCATTATACAAGAGTCTGTGCTGCGGCCATTACTGATAAAATCGTAGTGTCGAAATTCGATATGGTGCGAGTCCGTGCTAAATCAAATATTTATGTGGAACATGCTACGTCCACAAATTGTAGATATAAAGATAATATGCATATATAATTTTATGTACTTACATTTTTTTACGTAATTTTTCTTTTACTACATGATCTCCGTCTCTTTTTTTCAGCTGTTTTTTTATTCTTATCTTTTTCTTCTTTTTTTCAATGACATTGTGTTGACTTTTAAAGACAAAGCACGTCAAAGTGAACAATGAATATAACATACGTTATAAAAAATAATTTTTAGATAAAATTAAAAAATGGATGTTATATAACATTGATTTTTATATGCATAAAAATATGCTTCTTCATAATTTTTCTTTAATATTGTTATGTATGTTTTATTAAAAAAGTCTAGAAAGAGAGAAATAAAAAAAAACTATAAAACAGCAGGATAAATTATATTTCAAATTATGTATTTCAATATTGTAATTCGCGTTAGAACTCAATCAAATAACAATACAATGAATATTTATTATCAATTATTTTACATACACTTTTCTTTAAGAATGTATACATGTGTGCGCGTCCGCGGGTATGTCATTGAAATAAAAGAATTGTATTAATTTCTTTGCTTAGACAGAAAAAAAGAGGACAGAAAAAGAGAGAGAATAGAAAGATATTTATAAAATATTTCTCTCGATTAAAAAATTAGATTAAATAAATATCTTATATTTGAGACTACAATAATTAGCTGTATGGATAATAATTTAAGGGATCGAAAATAATGTAATGTCTGTCAAATATTCATTGAAGTTATTTATTTGAAAGTTGTATTTAAACTGATTAAATCGATACGCTTTTGTTGTATTAATGTGCATAATCGTAAACAAAGTATCAGCAGTAATTACTTCAATTTTAGTTTTATACATAAATTAATTCCAAATAAAAAATATACAAGATAGTCAAACTGAAAATAATGTAGTTGTGGACAAAAGAATTGTCTCTTTTTTTTTTAATTCCGTCTTTTACAGAAATCGTGAGATTTCTCACATTTTTATAATCTTATACTTTTACGTAATCTAAAACTCGTCGAAAAACAAAAATATTGCAATCCTTTTATCCACAATTTGTTGAAAACGATGAAACTATATATTACCGTCTTACTTGTACAGCAGAAAAACATTTTCATATCTATGTATAGCATATGTATATCTATATTAATTTGTTTCCACTTCATCCAAAGCAACAGAATTATAATTATTATACAAGATAAACGCATATCTCTTTCTCCTCTCACGTTGAGTCTTAAAACAGAAATATGCTTTTAAGAAATTGATTGCAGAAAGGACATTAGGAAAGTTTTTCCCTTTTTTTATTCTTTTTTTTTTTTTTTCAAGAATAATAATAGATGATATTTGTGTTATTTTCCAAGCAATTCTCCAAAGCATTAAACTGCTCGAGTTTTATTACAATATAGCTTCATCATTAGTTTGGAGCTTCTCTCTAACATTGGCTATTTTTCAATTTATCGAAGCAGTAATTGATGCTTTTTCTTACAAAAGTTTACCCTTCAATATCTCATAGACCATTTTGTTCCTAAAGTACGGCATATCATCCTGCGTAAACGTTATCTTCTTATTTGCGCAGGCATATTCAGCAAACATACAAGAAAATACGCCACAATCACTGCCGTTCATCTGTTGTGGAATGTTCTTGGCTGATTGCAATTTCCAGTCACTTATATCATAAGATTGTTTCTTTTTGTCTAGACTCTCGTCCTGTAAATATTGTTTTAATGCCGCTAGACATTTTGGGTTACTGCCGCCCATACTGTCATAATAAACAATCGATTTATTCCTGAAATCTATTATCGACATACACCAGTGAATGTCCAGATGTATAGGCACTACTACAAGATCCTGCGCGAATATATCTACTTTTCTAGTCCATCGCTTCAGAGATGAGTGACCACCCGATAGAAGTTTTGGATAAAAAAACGTGTTCATTGCGTGTACCTTTGGATACTTGTCGGAAGACGTGCCTCTGGCAATCAATAGATTCATGTAGAAGTTTATTACTTCATCGTTTAGCCAATTTAAGTCGGCTAGTGTGCAAAGATCCTTTCGCGTGATCCTTAGACCAAAGCCTTCCACAAGAACCTCGCCTGGGGGACATGGTATGATAGCGCTTCTCACTTCTTTCAACATCTCATTGGTCAACGTCGGCAACGCTGGTTCTTCTTGCTCCTCCCTATCATCTAGGACAGCCAGGTATAATTTCATAGAACGTGCCAATTGTTCTTCCAGAGCTGCTTCTCGTGCATATCTATTGTGCTTGGACAAGACGCATGTCATCTTCTTTAGTTCTTCAGCCTCTCTGTGGCGTTGTTCAATTCGTTCGTTGTATCTCTTAGTAACTTGAGGGATGAAGTCTTGTCTCATGATGGGTTTCGCAGCTAGCTCGTCACGCAATGAGTTAGTCGCAACAGCTTTGACAGGTAACCTTGGTGTAGTTTTCACTAATCCACTGGTACTGGGTCTATCAATTGTAATTACTTTGTTGAATTGCTGATATGTCTTGATACCTTTCTTGCTGTAATTTAAAGTAGGAACTTTTTCTTTATCTGTCCTAGAGTAGTTTGACATGCAAACTCTATTATGGTATGACGTTGGTATCTTAGACAAGTTAGTGACAGATGATTGCATCTTGTTAGATGTCATGATTTCCGGTTGCTTTTCTAAGTCAATAACTTCTATGGGTTTGCGCACAGGTTTATCCGTAAATACCTGTATCCTATTTGGAAACAGATTTTGAAGCATTTCTTCATACTGATATTTCTCTTTTAATTGATTAGTTTTGGATAATGTGGGAGACTTGTGATAGGTATCCGGCATCCTATGTTTGTGATGAAAAAAGTGCTCCGTGGTCGGTTTATTGTGATGCAGCATAAAGCAAGTAGACTTACAAGTGGGAGTTTTGTAATATTCGAAAGATTGCGGTTGCTTCTTATGAGTACCGTTCATCTGTGCACACGGTTTTGTCGATGAGCATTTCTGCTCACCTATGTATATGATATCATCGTCATCACTATCATCAATGGTAAAATACTGTTCCATTGTACGAGCTATATTACAATTGGATTTAAATTTTTTGGGTGTTATATATTCTTCTTCAAAGTCACAGTCCTCAGAAGCTTTCCGTTTCTTAGAACCTTCATCCACCCATCCAAAGATCTTCTTTAAAAAATCAAATATTATGGACATGATTAACACATGTATATATCCTGGTCTTATTATTGTCCATTCAACATATGTTACTAATATAGCTCAATCTAAAAAATAAAAAATAAGAAATTCTTACATATAATGTATTCATTGAGCAAATACCACAAAAACTATATAGTAAAGTCATAGTACAATCAGTAAGATACAATCAGCAAGGATGTTTTTCACGAAAAATCCTTAATCACACAGATCTAGCTAAGCAACTTTTGTTTCTAATTGGAGACAATGAGATACAACACGACGGGAACATACAGACAACTTTACAAGTATCTATAATAGCGGATGGTCATATGGAACTTCAGAGATCAAAGTCAACATGAAATGCTACTGGTTATACTGGTTATATGGAGCCAAATAATAAAAAAATTTTTGTATTTGTGCTAAAACCGGTTCACTCCCTCCTTAAAATTTTGAATTTTTAACATATACAATTGTTAATTTAAACATAATGTGATTATATTATTTAAATATTTTGTGTTAATTAATATTCAATATTTCTTATTGTCAAAATAATTTATAAATGAACAAATAAATAAGAATAATTTAAAACATATTTACAAATTTAAATTCTAAGATAAATGAATAACATACATGTTAATTTAACATGTTATAAATGTTAATTTTATTGAAAAAATATAATTCCATAATTTGTTTAGAAATTATGTCAATGTTATTATGTAATGTCATTTTTTGTTGTCATATATTTTTGTTACTTTCTAACAGATTCATCTTGTATTAAATTAACATAAATTTTCTAAATGTATATGTAAACGACAGATAACAAGGGCTGTTTCCCATATTTAACACTAATAACAAATAGCAATTATTATTATTACTGTTATTATTACATATTATGTGCTCATCCAATTCAAAGTCTTATAAAATTGAATATTTATTGGGACATACAAATTTAAATTTATTTGAAGCTAAAAATCATAACTGTTTGGCAATAAATATGAGATATTTCTCCATATACTTTTACACTCATAATTTTCAAAAGATTACTTACATTGGGTCCTTATATAAGGAAATTAGATGAAATAGGCAAATGCTAATTTATATCTTGTTCAATTTCTATTAAAGACACTGAGTCTAAGAGTTGATAATAAGAATCCAACCTGAAAAGAGAAGGACCATGGTTATTATGAAATTATAATTTGTATTATACAAAATTAAGTATTACCAATTGAAATAATTTGCTTGCACTATTTTGCACCGATGTACAATAAAAATTACTTATAATTGAAGTAAAATGATGAATGAAAAATACATAATTTTGCATTGGAGAAAAAAAGAGGAAGGATAACAAATATTATAGAAAAAAATACTACAGAAATACACTACAAAAAAATTTAGTTACATAACTTTAAATACAAGACTAATTATAAAAACATAGGGAAAATATATATCTTGATCGAAAAAAGCATCCGACGTGAATGTCTGCATTTTAACGAAATATACGTTGGACATTTCATCGATCAAGGGGCTTTTGTTACACATATTTACATTTAGGTGTTTCTTCATGTATAAAAATCTAGAAAACAACAGTGCGAGGAATAACGCAACAGCCGAATTCATTATAAGTTTTCGATTATGCAAACGTATACGCATTGACATGACGTAAAATTAACCTTATTGCGCGGCATGTTACACACACCCGTTCCGGTTGATGCTTACTCTCGAGAATTGCGTTGAATTCACCGTATATGCCACAGCAGGCACTAACTCTAAACCCGGACAAATTTTTTTAGCCTGCCTTTCAAACGCAAGATTTGTCATCCATGGACCGTTTAATTTGGCAATATCGCGAACATAACCCAGCGGTGACGTATTCTCTATACATCACACTCGGCACCATACTTTTGACCATACACAGTATATACAGTAGCGCAACTCTCTGGCGACATCTTTGATGTCAGTGTTGGCCAAAATGGAGTGCGCATGCGTGAAATAAGCAAATTACCATGGCGCTGCCATAGTTACCACCAAGAAGACTAGAACCAGGGGTGCGTTCCAAAATTCACTCCGAGTAAAGCGGGGAGCACAGACTCTTTCATAACGCATAACACGTAATGCATAAGAAAATGTATCAATCAAAGCTCTCCGTTTCCTTCCTTTCCATGAAATAAAGAATTCTGATTGATTGAATTTCTTATGCATTACATGTTATGCGTTATGCAAAAGTCTGTGCTCCCCGCTTAA